ATTTTCTGCATTCTACTTCTTAGATCTCCATTCTTTACTGATCAATTAATTTTCACATACAAGAACTGGCAAATTCAGTTAACACAGTAAGTCGTCATATGTGCTGTCTACTCAGCCTTGGTCTCACGGTTCCACATCCACCCTTTTTTTTTTGTAAGATTGGCACCTGAGCTAACATCAGTTCCCAATCTTCTTTTTTTCCTTCTTCTTCTCCCCAAAGCCCCCAAGTACCTAGCTGGATCTTCTAGCTGTAAGTCCTTCTAGTTGCACTATGCAGGACACTGCCTCAGCATGGCTTGATGAGTGGTGCCAGGTCTGCGCCCAGGATCAGAACTGGCGAAATCCCAGGCCACCGAAGCGGAGCCCGCGAACCCAACTACTTTGTCACCGGGCCAGCCCCCAACATCCACCCTTTTACACTCTGCTTGGTGTACTGGAAACTCAGAGCTGCTTTGTTTTTATTTTTTTGCCAGCTGATTCCATGGTAGGTTTCATCAATAGGGGGCGCTAGTAAGAGATTAGACAAGAGAAGGCGGTAGTTGAGGAGATTTATTCCTTCCTACCAGCATCATCTTCGTGATTTTTTACTTCGCACTTGCATTTAGTTCCAGTTTTGTTGTTTTCTACTCTCCCAGTATCAGCTTCATTTTGCCCCTTCAAAGGTGACAGGCCCAGCCGGACTTCAAATATCTGAGCATCAGCTTCAAGGGGACTGTCTTCTGGTCTCCGCAGGCAGCAGCACTAACAAAGCGCCAGCTCCTGTTGAGAGGTTGGAGTCCTCCCTGTGTAGGGGCTCCTCTTGCAAGCTTCTAGGTTTTAATAACCCTAATATCTTCCCACTTTTCTTCCAGCCCTGGTGGTGACGGCTCCTTCCTGCACTTTTAAATTCTATGTCTATTCAAGATCTCCTTTTCACCTTGTAATACCTATTTACTGATTCCTTAGAATAAGTGTTCTCTGGGAACATAACTAAAATGATTTCTTTTTTCCAGACTGCCTCAAGGATATAGCAACTGCTAGGATCACTTTCTGAGGGATGATTTCTTTTGTTTTGAACCCTAGTTTTCGCCGACAAATAGTTACAAGAGCCTCACAATTATTTTAGCACAATCATAAAATCCTGAAACCGACTTCATGCCCTGAGGTGTAAAGTTAGAAATCTGAGTTCATCTTCTGTCTTTAAGTCATCAGCTGCCATGAGAAGCAGTCACCTTTCCCTACGACTTTCAGATTTTATGTCAGTAACAACTCTATTCCCCAAAAGTTTAATGTCATGGTAGGTAATAAGTTATATGTTAATTATATACTTTGCCACTGGCTGCCATAGCCTCAGCCTATAATATTGACTAGATTGTTTTATTTCCTTCATTCTTATGCAAACTAGAAAATCAGTTCTTGATTCCCCAATTTACCGGAGAATCTGTTAGTTTCAGTGTCTATATTAGTCACAGTTGTTTCACACTAGCAATGGTAATAAATTCAGACTGATTTTTGAAGAAAATGAATGCATTAAAATAATACTAGTTTACAAAACATCAAAGTAGAGTAGAAAAACATATTCAGAATATGGAGATAAAAAAGAGAGAATGCAGGCAGAATCACAATTCCACTCACACAATAGAACCAAATCAGTGAGTTGCTACTGCTGAAGGCTGCGTGTTGTCACTTCTACAGCTGATAATTCAGCAGAGGCCACAGCTGGTATGATACCTGGTACTTCCCCGAAACGCAAGGCTATTACTATCAGAAAAAATTCTCCATTCTCCTTGATTCCTTCTGTCACTATCACCAAATTAAAACATTTAACTACCTGTACCTGATTACTCAAGCCAATGCCATGAACCTATGCCTCCGCTTCCATGAGGGCAAGCATTTTTAGCCTTGATAGTAACAGGCTTTGTAACCAGCCGAGATTTGGAAAATAGGAATTTACCAATTCTAAGAAGGTTCAGTTGCTAAGCAACCAAATAATAAATAAGACTCACCTCTAATATTCTTACTTCCCACTGACTTCCAAAGCTAAGTCTATTCTCCAAAGAGAACTCCATTGGACTACGAAAATGCCCTCTTGTGATTACATTTGTTATAACAATTCTCTTAATATACCATGAAAGCATACAGTTCTCAGTTGTAACAATTTTCTGAACATAGAGTTTAGACCTTCTGAAATTGTTTGTTTCAGTTTTGCTTTGATCACTGGGAGCACTAATCTTATCTGACTTCTTCAAGTTATTGTCATCATGCTAGAAATCTCTGTTAAAGTTAATCTTATACGTAAATTGACACACTAAAGCTCTGGTGTTGTGGCCACTAGGTAGCCATGAATAGCCTATTTGTGGAGTGGAGGGTCAGAATGCACTGTTTTGGTCTCCATTTTCATCATTTACTCAACCTGCATTGTTCCATAATTTTTTTAACATTGCTGTTCTTCAACTTCCTCACTTGCAAATTGGGATATTCAGTGTGCCTCTGTTGCATGCTGTTGTAAGAAATACATTACTCAATACATTACCAGTTAAGCCTAGAATAAGTAAGTATTAAGTAAAAGTTATCATCATCTTCATCATCATCAGTATTACGTCACTTTGAAATTGATGATTTTCTTGAAAATTTTGAAAATATGCCCCCCTCCAGTAGGACTCCTCCACCTCTAATTAACATACAAATTAACTAGACTCATGCTAACTATAATCCAGTCCCTTTTTCCCCTAGTCAGACTCTGTCTTCCCTTCCTTGCTTCAGGTTTTATTAAATAATTTAGTTCAATATATTATGTATTTTATATCAATTACATAACAAGCCTGGTAAAATAGTAATCCTGAAACGATAAAAAGAGAGGTGCTCTCCTCAAGTAGTTTACATCCTGGTGGAGAAGACAAAACAAAATATCCCTGGCTTCTATGTAATATAGTACACTTAAGATGGCAAACGTCCAGAGGGCTGTGGAGCACAGAAGAAGAACACTTAAACCACCCAGGCATTCTCAGAAAGCATCAAGAGCAGAAATAAGCCGAGGTTTGAAGAAAGAGAACTATAAAGCTTGAAGAAAAATGTGGAGCCAGCATTTCTGTCAAAAGAAACCATATGAATAAAAGAAAAGAACTGTGAAATGGTATATTGTGTGAAGCATTTTGTAAGAAGTTTGTGGTGTAAAATAGAAAGAAATGAAGCAGGACCTATAAAAAGGGGCCGATTCATGAAAGGGCTTATGTACCACGCGTAAGAATTTAGACTTAACCTTTTAGGTGATAGGGAACAACGGAAGAATTTAAGCAGGGCAGTAAGTGACACAGGCAAACTTTGATTTCCAAATTGATTTCCATTCTAAAGAGACTTGCATGAGTAAGCTAGCTCAATCACTTATCAACTGAGGGATATTGAGGAGTTTGCTTAAATTCTCTGAATTTCAGATTCCTCATTTCTGCGAAGCTTATATGAGATATATAGAAAGATTTATGGGATCAACAAATGCACATGTTGCGAGACGCAGTCATAATTCAGAAATGTAAAAATGGCAGCTACACATTCTACAAATGAGGAGACGTGCTACTACAAGCGTCATCATGGGTGATCAAGACAATGTTCTCAGACTGAACTTTGACCCCTTGATGATAAAGCTACTGTAAGAATAGCCAATGAAGAATTCCTCACATCATTTGTGGAAAGATGAAGTCAGGCATACCATGCTTAGAGGAAAGAGAGAGAAATTAAAAATGATAACAAGAATGATACTGAGATCACAGTTTGGAATACAAAGAAAATCTAGATAAGCTTCTATCTAGCTTCTAGATAGTTACTGAGAAAATATCTCAGTATTAAAAAATAAAAATACAAACATTCCATTAATGGGGACTGTGAAGCTGGGGGCTTAAGAAATCAATCACTAACCATAACAATGACAGAGATCCCTAAAGAGTATTTATTTTAAGAAGAACAGAACAAGAACTGAACAGGAGGCTGAAATAAAAAAGGAACTTTCTTCCCCATGTCACAATTCATTCCTTCATCCATTACACATACATCTATAACATTCCAGACTGGTATTACAATAGTCTGTAATCAGACATGTCATTTTTCTTCTGAAGTGCAAAATTAGTTGAAGAAAAATCATTAAATAACCACATTAACACATTTAAAAAGAGTTATATGCAATGAAGATAAAGTAACAGATTTAACAACAGCAAAAACATCCTTAGAATTAAAGAAGAATTCCCTGAGAATGTGCTATATTATTTGAAATATGATGGTCAAGTAGGAATTAATTATGTAAAAGTAGAAGAGCATTTTATATACAGGTTGTCTAGGCTAAATCTTGTACTGGGAGAAACAAGCTGAGTGGTCCAGCAGAGGGATGTGGTTGGAATAGAAAATGCAATTTAAGGGTACATAAAAATATTTAACCACCATCCTAAAAAAGAATGATGCAGTCGTCAGGGTGATTTCGACTGTGAATTTGGAGAAACCTCCAAGAATATATTGCAAAAAGAAACATGGGGTAAGTCAAAAAGAAAGAAAAGGCAAGAGAGAATCAAACCAGAAATTAAAATACGTAACTCAGAAAGTGAGACCAAAACCAAAAAAAAAGGAATTTTTTTAATCAAGAATTTCTCCGACTTGAAGGAAAACAGGGGTCTTTAATTTCAAATGGCATGCAGAAGGGCAAGCAGGATGAGTGTAAACAATTCATTACTGAAAACTTTATTTCAGAATTTCAAGGAGAAAAAAATACATGGAAAAGTCTTCCAGATTTTTTAAAGCAGGTCCTCTACACTGGAGCAATTAAATTTAACCCAAGTATTTCCCTCCATTTCCAGACTAATTATAAATGTCTTTAAAATTCGGGAAGAACAAAATTTTGATCGGAGGATATTACTAAACTCTCAATTAAGTCAGAAGACGAAATGAAGATATTCTCTAAGACACAAAGATTAGAAAGTAAAATTTCCATGTATCCATTCTAAGGAAGTTTTTAGTATCAGTTAAAAGAAAAGCCAGTCTACCTTGATTGAAAATTAAGGAAATATCTTATTTCACATAACTGCAAAGTCCAGAGATTTCAGGATTCAGGCTTGGTTTGCCACAAAGCTCCAATAATATCACCACAGACAAGTTTTAGTCTTCTAATGCTCAGATCCTCTTCCTGGAGTTGACTATTATGAAGTAGGTTCATCTCTCTTGGCAGCAATATGTTTGCAGAAACTCTCAAAACTCTAAATTCTAGGACTACTACTACTAATAATAACTACACCTCTTCTGGATGGACAATTAAATATATTTGGTTTCCTTACCCCTGAACAGGTCGGTTGGCCAAACTGAAAGAAATGCTCTTTTTCTCTTAGTTTTATGAACTAACACAGTTAGTCCTCACAGTTGGTTCAGTCCCTGAAGCCACATGGACAGGGTGAGCTGATTCCCATAAGGAAAATGAGGGCATCAGTCTTAAAACAAAAATAGAATAATGTAATTTGGCTAAAATCAGCTAACCAAAAACCTCTGATCCACCCAATGATAATAAAGTTATCCAAAACTTGTAAATAAGGCCAAAAAAAAAGGTGATCTGTTCTTTCAACATCACACAGGGATCCCAAACTAAGTCTTCAGGGAATGGACTTTTACTTTTTGCTTTTTTTCCCCCCAGGTTTACTGAGGTATGAGTGACAAATAAAATTATGAGATATTCAAAGTGGGAAATGTCCTTTGTCAATTGATCTATTGATCACAGGTCCCAGACTTAGTAAAATAGCATGTTAAGCTGGAGACTTTGCCAACAGAGGTGGAAATGACTCCTGTCCAGTGGCAAAAGCAAAGACTATAGTTTATGACTCTGTAGGACACTCACCAGTTTTATATCAAAGTCAGCACTCTTGTGCTAACAGTCCTTTATTTAATTGCTTATGATATCTGAAATGCTCTTTGGACCTATGTTAATATCTTACTGTTCCTCTTAGTACCTGATGTGTGGAATAAATTTCTTGAAATATTTGTTTATAGTTACAGGAGAACTATGATTTAACGTTTTTGAAAATTATACTTTAGATATCTGTATATACCCTCCTTCCCATACATATGTTTCCAAAAATGTTTCTGACAATGTAGCAATCATTAATCCCCTCCTTAAAGTTTCACCCTGACACTGCATCTATCTCCCTTTCCAGGTAAAGTGTGATCTTTTCAAGTCAACACATGTCTCCATGTGATCTGGAGATCTTTCAATAAATATTAATTACCCTCAATCAATACAACACAAAATGGAGGATAAAAATAATACAGCAGTAGGGCCTGGCCTGGTGATTTAGTGGTTAAGTTCGAATGCTCTGCTTCAGCGGCCCGGGGCTCACAGGTTTGGATCCCGGCCATGGACCCAGCACCACTCATCAAGGCATGCTGTGGTGGCATCCCACATAAAAGAGAGGAAGATTGGCACAGATGTTAGCACAGCAACAATCTTCCTCAAGTAAAAAGACTGGCAACAGATGTTAGCTCAGGGCCAATCTTCATCACCAAAAATACATATATATATAATGATAATAATATGACAGTGAAAAAAAAACATTGGAGAAAGGAATGAATTGGAAACAAAGCAAAGTGCTCATTGCTTCACACTCATATCCTGTTTGAAAGAATATTATGAACTTTTCACCCTTATAGTGGAATGATTCCTAGGTATATTTCTGGAAGATGCTTCTTCGTCCATTACTCCTATCTCAGCCACTATGCCTCTTGGTTCTGGCCTCTGAGAGGAGTCCCTTATTTAGTGTTATCCACAACCACACCTGAGATGGGAATTGGAAAGGATGCATATTCTGAGTGTTGATTCTCCTTATCATTTCACTTCTTGAGGGTTTGTGTGCATATGTCTTCATTTGTGTGTGAGGAGAGCAAGTGTGAATGGGGTGTTGAAACCGCTAAGTGAAAGACCAAACACAATCTCTTAATCCCAGACAACTGGGAAAGCAACTCCCTTAAAGCCAGATATCGCAGTGAGCCATGTTTCCTGATTCTAAGGCTGGAACGTGGAGTATCTGTTTCCTAGCAACAATTCTCAGTTATACACTCACTTCCCTAGCCCTCAATTTAATGACCTCCACTGAGGCATCCGCTTTGGACGATTCGAAACAATGGTTTGGGATGGAGAGGCGCAGTTAACCTGCACTTGTCCCTGCTATCTGTACTTATACCATAAACATAATTGTCTCCTGTGTCTGCCTGGTAGTATATAAAAGGAAATTCATGCAAAGTGACTGTGGGAATCAGGCTTCTCCCATATCTCAATCTGATTGCCAATTTTGGTTCTGGCTTCTTCAACTTCACTAACTAATAAGCTTTTTGTTAAATAATTTAGCTTTTTCATTGCAACAAGGATCCAGGTGATTACACTCTCAGCCATCCTTGGAGGTTGGCCAGAGGCAAAAAATAATGCCTTTTCTTTCCAATAAGTCAGTTTCAACTCAAGTCTGTATCTTTATTACAGGATATTACTGAATCCATAAGAAGGGAAAAAGCTAACAACCCACCAACATCCTGAATTTTCCCCACCAAATCTCACAATGTACAGTCATGTTAGATACATGGTTTATACCACAAAGTACAACAAAAAGCATTTTGTCCATCTCTTTGATAGAAAATAAGAATTGCAGCCTTTCTGCTTGGGATTATTGTCATTCCCATTGTCTCTCAAACTACTTCTACCTAGGCATTTTGAGTTTTAGACTCTGCCACTTGCTTGTTTACTTCATGAAACCAAATTTCAGCATCACTTCGGATGGGTACTGACAGCTAAAGCCTGAAATGGGATAGTGGTAACCTTTTTTTACCCACAGTACATACTATATTTCTTAGATACATTTTTAAAAAATTGTTTGTGTATAATTACCATTTACTTCAGGGTTGTTTCTTCTTTAATCACAAACTTAACTCAGCCTTCGACTATGGTTTTAGTAGAAGATGTTTTACTTTCTATTACAAATATGACACTAATATACAACAATGAACTCTTCAGTTTTTCACTTCCATATAAAATATAACTTCTTCTAAGATAAAGGGCTGGAAAGACAATTTTCAGAGAGAGAAAGAGAAAGAGAGAGAAACACATTTTGTTCCAGGCATGTCTCAGAACTGCCAAAAATAAGTCCATTGATCAAAACACTCTGAAAATAAACTCTGCAGTCTCTTTCTTAATCTCTTAATTTAAACACAAGAGATTAAAATGATAATTGTGTCACTTTGTGTCAAAGCCCTGCTGAGTTCAGTTCTGTCTCCAAATTTTATGTCCAAATCTTGCAGGGGCTGCCTCCTCAGCACCTGTCAGTCCCGGCTCAGCAGAAGAGTGAAGACACCTGTCTGAAGCCCTCTACGCTACAACGGGAGAGTGTAAATTACTCAGTCAACAACTTCAGCTCTCACAAACCAAGAGATGATTTAGTCTATGCCCATCACTGAGACAAAAAGTATTTCCTAAAAAAAAAAGACGTTTCTGATGTTCAAGACTACTCAGTCCTAGGCTAAGATCACCAGATATTGCAAAACGACATTTTCCTGTAACATTACCTAGAGTAACTCTTGTAAACAATGTTTCCAAACGTCACAGCTGACATTGAGGTTCTTTCAATTGGCTCTCTGAGGCTTAAAATTTCCCATTTCCTTTACCCCTGCTGTCCAATTTTTAATCACTAATTTAATATGACTAGTGTGATTATGCATTGGAAGTGACTACATATTTAAATATTGCTTAATCTCTCTCTTGTATCCATACTAGGGTGATTTTTATTTTAAAAATTTCAAGGGCTGGCCCTGTGGCTGAGTGGTTAAGTTCGTGTGCTCCGCTTCAGTGGCCTGGGGTTCACCAGTTCAGATTCTGGGCACCAACTTAGCACCAGCCATCAAGCCATGCTGAGGTGGCATCCCACATAGCAGAATTGGAAGGACCTACAATGAGAATACACAACCATGTAATGCAGGGTTTTGGGGAGAAGAAGAAGAAAAAAAAATAAAAGATTTGGCAACAGATGTTGCTCAAGGCCAATCTTTAAAAAAAAAAATTCAGAAAGTCTGTATGGAGAGAATTAAAATGTGGAATAACTTTAAATGTCAAGAATATATCGGTGAAACTAAATTAAAATTTAAAACCTAAATAGTAATAGAAAATAGAAAATGTAGTATAATATCAATCTTATGTTTAATAGTTACTATAGTAAGAATCATTTAACCTTTGCTTAAATTATTATGAATTCTGAATTAGAGACAATCCCCAATAACTCCTGAGTTATAGACTGACAGCACAGGTTCCTGGTTCATCATAATTGCCCAGTAATTGTTTATTGAAATGGATTGACCCTGTGGCAAAGATTAGCTAACCCTTCACCAAACCTACTTTCTCTACTTCCTGGGCATAAGATATGGACTACAATTCTCCAGATCCTTTACTGGATCCCTAGTTGTAACAAAGCAATCTGAGTTCTGGCTATGAAATAGTTACTAAAATGTGTATGACTTTCAGATCTGACCCACTAAAAACTTCCTACACTGTCATTCTCTCCCCTTCCATATTGAATTTGAAGCCATGTGTTGATGTTGGAGCGAAACAAGAGAAGAACTGTGGGTTCCTGAATTTACATTTGGAGGAGAATAGGCTTCCAGTCAGGAATACTTGCTTTGGGCAGTTACATGAGTGAGAAATATTGTTTTTTTTTTTTAAAGATTTTTTTTTATTTTTTCCTTTTTTCTGCCCAAAGCCCCCTGGTACATAGTTGTGTATTCTTCGTTGTGGGTTCTTCTAGTTGTGGCATGTGGGACGCTGCCTCAGCGTGGTCTGATGAGCAGTGCCATGTCCACGCCCAGGATTAGAACCAACGAAACACTGGGCCGCCTGCAGCGGAACGCGCGAACTTAACCACTCGGCCACGGGGCCAGCCCCGAGAAATATTGTTTTTATCATTTTTAAGTCATTAAATATTTTTTGGATGTGTTACAGCAACTATTGTTACCTTAGCTAAATCAGACCCTATTAAAAAATAGAAAACTCTGTTCTCCTTTAATAGAAGGAATCAGTGATGCTATCCTTCAAAGCCAAAAACACTCGCTGTCAGCCCTTAGAAGCATACGGCCCCCTGCGAGTGATGAGAGTTCCTAGA